CAAACCCATTCACAAGGAGCTCTACTGCTACTAAATTTTAGTTTTAAATTAAGAATTTAACGTATTGAGTGTATACTCCTATACGTATAGCTACATATCAACCAAGTCGTTCGTTTTCGGTACAAAACAATTTGCTCCGCGAAAGCCCCGGAGCGATGGCACTGGCTTGTTACGAAAACCGCTGACAATTGTTTATTTCCGAAACAGATTTTCATATAATTTGTGCGACAGAGTACTGCTTCCGACACGGTGTGCAGTAAATCTGAGTATAGAAAATCTGTCTAGATAGACATGTACGAGTATTAAATATTTGCTTACTAACGTGAAGCCGTGGTAGCCTAATAGTTTGACCTACCGCCTCTCAAGCAAAATCCGGGCTCGCACCTCTGAGTTTCTCGGAATATATGTGCAAAGTTCAGTTTGAAAGCACCGTGAAAAAACCTGCACGTCGAAGAAGATTCACAACCCTCGGAAAATATTTTAATTAACAGTAGAGCTCCCTGTGAAAGGGTACGTCCAGGGAAGTACTGCCACCATACCCATTCCTGCGGCCAAGCAGTAATGATAGCGTGGTAACTGGGCAGCCGCCACGCGACGGCTGCCCAGTTACCACGCCTTCATGACATTAATGGCGAATCTAATTTCTATTTACTAGGCACCAACATTTAAATTCTTTTAAATAATACATAAAGCGTATTATAAGTTTCCGGAACTGGCCACTTACATAAACAATATTTAAAAAGAAATTACAACATTCGAAAATGGAACTCTTTGGCTGTAGAATACAGTTTGTTTCATCTGGCTGTCACTTATTTTTACATTGTGGCGTCATTTTATAAATTGGTTGTCTACATCACCATGGGTTTAACTCGTGAATATTTTCGTAGTATGATTTTGTACGACTTTAAATGTAATTCAACAGCTCAGCGGAGCTTTGCTCGGCTTCAAACTGCTTTTGGCGATGAAGCATCATGTAAGACGATTATTTATAGCTGGTTTGCAAAATTCAAACCTGGTCATGTGAATTTCAGTGACGAATTTCGTGATGGTCGTCCGTCCACTGCTGTGAACAATAAAAACATCGATGCTGTGCGCCGTATGATCAAAACAGACAGGCATGTGACATAACATGAGATTCGGGCATCTTTAAGCTTAGGCACGAGTTAAATACAATCAATTCTACACAAACATTTGGGTGTGAAAAAGCTGTGCTCTCGGTAAATCCCACACAATTTGACTGAGGTTCAAAAAACGGATCGCATCACTTGGTGTAATGCCATGCTTACCAGATTCAACGAAGGGGCGTCAAATTTGGTGTGAGACCATAGTAATAAGTGACGAAACATTAACTTATAGTTACGATCCCAAAACAAAGCAGCAATCGAGCGTATGGGTCTTTCGAGATGAGCCGAAACCAACCAAAGCGGCGCGCGTGCAAAGTGCCTCTAAGCGGATGATTGCTTCTTTTTTTTAATACAACTGGACAAGTAGCTACTGTTCCTTGGGAGAATCGTTGTACCGTGAATAGTGATTGGTACATGACCACTTGTTTGCCGGAAGTTATTGATAAACGCAATATGATAATGCCAGTTCTTACACGGCCAGACACACAAATGAATTTTTGAACGTGAATCCCGCATGCAGTCCCGACCTACTGTGACTTTTATTTATTTCCAAAAATTAAGAACCAGTTGCGCGGTCAACGATTTTATCACCTGAACAGGCTATCGAAGAGTATGAAAAATATATTTCAGAGATTGTCACGGAGGAGAGGCATAAATCTTTTCAAAATTGGTTCATTCGTATGAAAAAGTGCATTAGCGCTAGTTGAGAATATTTTGAGAAACAGTAAATTCAGTTCTGACCATTTACAGCATTTTTTTCTTATTCATTCCGGAAACTTATAGTGCGCCCCATGTACAATGGCGCGGCCGTCGGCCGTCTGCCGCGCTGGTCGCCGTGTAGACCAAATTCAAGCCAGTCTCGCCCGCGTGCCCGGGACGCTCATTTAAGTTAAAACGTAAAAGCAAAATAAATAAAGCGTATTTTACCATGACAGTTAGATGCACGCGGACTCCGCTGATCGGCTGAGTGAGCGCGATGAAATTCGTGTCGAATAAATGCGCCATAAGAGTGCTAGTGAAATGTCAGGCGCAGTGGCAGTGCCCTTCAGATCTTCGCGATTTAGAGCTCTGAGTGGCTCTGCAACTTATGGACAGGCGTGTATTTTACTACCAGGCGCACGACTTGTTCATCCCTTCACTTAATGTTATAAAAAAAAGATTACGGTATCTCTTATGCATTTTTTAAGTTTTTTGTTTTCATTCAGTTTACCTATTAGGCCTTTGTAGTGGAATTTTAGCTCTCCTAAAAGACGAAAGAAAATAATAATAATATTTGATAATAAATATTACAAAAATTATCTCAAATCAAAAGCCAAAAGATTCAAGCAGAAATTTGAAGCCGTTGTCCACACGGCTCATTCAAACTTCTTTTTGTACAGCGTTTTAATAATAAACTATCTACAAATTTAAAATACACAATTGAAATAAATTATCTCCACAATTTAATATATGTTTTTAAATAATATTTCATCATAGATATTGAAATCAATACCGCAACTTTTATTCGGTGGAATGATCAAATCGTGTTTCACGTACCTAAAGCTAAGTTCCTTATAACGATTAAACTCCTTTGCAAAGTATCGCGATACGATCTTCTACTAAAACTTTCCGAACATACGTACAAACTTAGTTTATGGTTGTATTACTTAACATATGTTTATATGCATAATACATTTACAGCGCCTAAACTTTAAAACGATTGCAGGCAAACTTTATACTTTATGCATAGGATTTAAGTACGTACTTGAAAACATTTTGAGTATTCACTTCTCTTATCCAATTTCCCTTTTTAATAGAAATAGAAACCGTTTATTGCAACGCCACATTAAAATACAAGTACAAAAAATACTATAAATAAAAACGATAACCGTATAACTTTTTCTATGTCACATAATTGTAAACTCGGAATTAATTTGAAAAAGATAAAAGAATAAAACACCAGAACATAAAGTCCATGTAATTTAGATTCTTTTATTTCCGCGAATTCGCACCTGTACTTGTTTCGTGCAGAACAAAAAGTGAATAATAGGAAGTGGGTACGGCCAACAAATCAGTTTTATAAAAGGAATTTAGCCGCCCGAAGCCACTTAGGTTAGTTACGCTAAAAGAGAGGCTTGAATGCTCACTCAGATATATACTTCTATATCTCAACAATAGCCATAAAATAGCCATTATATAATCTCAGTATAGAGCACTAAAAAAACCGACCTCAAAAATAGGTGGTAAGTATAAGTTACCAAGTTTTATTGAAATCGGTTACCGGAAAGTGCGCAAACCCTGATTCATCCCCTAGTTCGCTACTATACGGGACTTGACACAGGAGATAATAGAAATCAGTTGTCACAACTCAAAGTATATTGAGAGAAAAACGCCTTGAATTGGAGAATAGTAAAATCAACCATTAAAATTATTGCTGCTTATAATAAAATTTAGGCGCTGTTTATAAAAAATGAATCTTCATGCGTGAACAACCACCCTTAGAGGTGGATGATTTTCTTCAAAATTAAATGGGATCACTATGGAGGTACCCTCTTTCCAACAAAAAAGAATCATGAAAATCGGTTCATAAATACCGGAGTTATCGCGTAACATACACACAAAAAAACACATAAAGTCGAATTGAGAACGTCCTCCCTTTTTTGAAGTCGGTTAAAAATATGAGGCAAATTCGAAAGAATGCTGCTACTGACTTATTCTGGGCCGTATGACTACGAATATATTATCTTCACTATAATTTGGCTTTGGATTTTTATTCCGCTAAATGTCACTTACAAACAGCAACGGTAAATAAATTAAAAGAAAATCTTAGAACAGTTTTTTTGGTAACGGCCGACGGAATACAATAGGTAATAGTATTTCTCAATACATATCTACGAAATTTTATAATAAAATTTAATACTGCGTAGATGGTTTATTCCTTTGTTTAACAAATTAATTAGAATTAAAAAAATATGCACTCATGCCATGAATATATATCATCGAGGGATAACCGCGAACTCTTTAAACCGATTTTACTGCTTCACGGGAATTAAATTATTTTTCTTTTAGACAATTATCTAAATTGTGGAAAAAGTGGCAATCCGTCAAGGGAGTTTGGAGGGTACCGAGTCTCGGCAACTTCTTTATGAGTCTATGAAACGTCAAACGGCCGTGGTTGATTCTGTATAACAGTGAAAGTGTTGAACGGAAAAAATATATAGTAAAATTGGGGATATACACCGATTACTATACGGTATGTAAACACGATGCCTACATGTACCAATGATTTTTTTTTACATCAACTGTACTGAATAGAACACGTATAAGTAGTATACGATATATATTTTTGAAATGGCTTCAATTTCGTTTATAAAATAATTAATTCTGAAATAAAACCAGTGTCCCTGCCACTCAACTGTATCAGTACTGTGGGTGTACTTACATCAAACCATGTTGCTAATTTTTGGCGTAGATTACGATGGCTTTAACAATTAGCGCAAAACTAGTCATTATTCACCCTTAAACACTCGTCGGCTACATAAAAATTTCACTACGGAATTAAACACACCAAAACAACAAACTGCTTTCATAATTTTAGCCGCTCCACGATTTGTGGCACGATAAAACTTGTATTAAAAATATGCAAATTTTAACACTATAAAAGTAACTAAAACAAAAACAAATAAAGGAAGCCAAAATTTTTAATTTAGAAGCCTTAATTTATCATTTAAAATAGTCTATGTGAATCATCTAAAATTATATTACTTTTAAAAACGGCCAGAATTTTAGAGCGAATTTCAGACCTCTAAAAACTATATCTCCAAGAGGATGAGTCCCAACGATGCTTTGGTTGTAGCCGTACAAGATATAAATCAATTTGTTTGCATTGTTCTCTAGGTGAACAAACCCGCGAACCCGAACCTGCGAGATCGGAATCCGCGGCCCTAAATCTTGGTCGACGGATTGGCAAAGGAATGGCGGGCATAATATCTAAGCTAAAGAGCGGCGCGAACAACACCCCGCCGCCTCTCGAGAACAACCCCATTATGCAATACTTCGAAGTCGGCAAGGAGAGCTCCACCGCCGGCCCGGGTCTAGTATGGCGGATCCATGACGCCTATCGGAAGAGCGATGGGAAGGTAAGTGTTAAGCCTATAAAATTGAGAAATAACCTGTCTCCGCACACTTTGTGTATGTTCCAAAACCGTTGACAGGTTTAATTTTAAGTGTCTAGCAATTGATTGTTGGTCTAAGGTCTGCTGCATTGTAACAATTATGAATTTGACCGATACAATCTTGTAATTCTAGCAAATATAAAAGTTAAAAGTTAAAGTGCCAGCTCGAGTCGGACAGAGCGCAGAGGTTACTCGAGGTGAATTGCGTACGTTACTGTAATCTATAAATTAAATATTATATACAAAAAACTAAATATTAGGTTAGGTGCCAGTGGCAGTATAAAACGGCTGCCACTCCGTTATTATAAGATAGCATTCAGCAGTACAGCGATGTTGTTGTACGGTGTGAGCAACGTAGAATAAGAACAAGTATGATAACTTCACGTCAAACGCCGCAGCGCGGCTTGTATGTGTGCGCGCCCGCCACGCGTTGCACGGACGCACACATTTGCATAACCTAAGGGTGCTGTGGCGTTGCACAACACTGGTCGTCTCAACGCGCATTTCATTATTATGTGAATGTGTGCGTCCGTACACGATTGCGCACACACACACTACGCGCTGTTATTGGGAACGGAGTTGCCCTACTTGTTCTTATATAATATGCCTCCCTGTAATTGATGAATTCAATAAGTACAAACTCATAGTAACAAGAACAAGAAGCGGGGCACACTGATATTGAAGCTACATTATACTTTAGTTATATGGACTGTTTCTTAACATTAATAAATTTAACATACACGTGCGAAACTTGCTATTTATCTCCTAAAGAAAAATGTTAATGTTTGTGGCAGTGTATTTAATTTTCATCATGTTAATCCACAAGACATCATCAAAGCTTTTAAATCTATGCATGTTAAAAAAACTGAAGATCTCTGGAGCATATCGACTAAAGTTATAGACTCAGTAATATATCGAATTTCTCCACATTTAGCTAATGCATTCAATGGGTGCGTTGACGAAGGTATTTTTCCCGATTTGATGAAATACAGCAAGGTTATTCCTTTATTCAAAAGCGGTAGGAAAGTTGATCCTAGCAACTATAGGCCTATTTTAATTCTACCAGCTTTAAGTAAAATATTCGAAAAGGTTATGTTGAGTCAATTACTGTCTTATTTCGGTAGGGAAAAAATTTTTCATAGTGAACAATATGGGTTTACTAGTGGTAGATCGACTAGCGATGCAGGGGTAGCGCTACTAAAACATGTATTTGATGCTTGGGAAAGGTCCCATAACGCTATTGGGGTTTTCTGTGACCTTTCAAAAGCATTTGATTGTGTGGACCATATTATTCTTGTTAGGAAGCTAAAATATTACGGAGTAAATGGCAAGGCGTTGGAACTTGTCCAGTCAAATCTTAACGGTAGAAAGAAGAAAATAGACATAAATGGAGTGACTTCCTTGGGTCCTCCGGTAAAAATGGGTGTTCCGCAGGGCTCAATACTTTGACCGTTCTTATTTCTCATTAATATTAATGATCTACCATTCTTTGTTAAGGACCTTTGCGACATAGTATTGTTTGCTGACGACGCATCCTTGATTTTTAAAACAGACAGACATCACATTAACTATGATAATATTAACGATACCCTTTCAAAGGTAGTTTATTGGTTTAATGTTAACAATGCTAAGAAGACAAAGTGTGTTAAATTTGAATTACCTAATGTAAAATCGACTAGTCCAATCATAGAAATAAATGGAGAAAAGTTAGACTTTGTTAATAAAGCTGTACTTTTGGAAGTGACCTTAGATAGCAAACTTCAATGGTTTCCACATATATCTTCCTTAGCTAGCAAAATAAGCTCTGCTACATACGCAGTCCGTAGAATACATGAGCTTACCGATGTTGCTACTGCTAAACTAGTTTACTTTAATTACTTCCATAGTATAATGTCCTACGGGATTCCCATTTCTCTTTACCCCACGGTAAATCGGCAAATAAACAAACCATATTTGTGTTGCAAAAACTAGCGATTCGTTCTGTGTACCGTTTAGGTTCTCGGGTTTCTCTGAGAGAAAAGTTTAAGGAGATTGGTATCATATCTGTGGCGTCGCAGTACATTTACTCAAATATTTTGTATGCCCGTAAAAATATACATAATTTCATTAAGAAAGAAGACATCCATAATATTAACCTTAGAACTAAGTCCAAACAATTTAACTAAGATAACGATTCTTTTATGGGGAGCTGTATACGTTTTTACAATAACATTCCGGAGAATATATTAAGATTATCATTTTCAAAGTTTAAAGCTTAGATTAAAAGTATTTTAATTGAAAAGTCATATTACAAAATTGAAGAGTATGTTTTAGATAAAAAAGTATGGAAAGACAACGAGAGTCTAGATTCTACACAATTATGATTCAAAGTGTATTCCATAGCATTTAAGTTTATTTGAAAAGAGCAATCCCTAGAGTTTCTTGCTCGTTCTTCTCGGGGAGGTCAGCATAGTGAACGAGTAGTAGCTTAAAAAGTAGCTTAAAAAAATGACGTTTTCAAGTGTAAGTTTTACCTATGGAATAAATGATTATTTGACTTTGACTTTGATTATCGATTACGAATATAAATTAAAAGACAAGTGTAAATGATATTAGAGACCTTGGTATCATTATGGACACAAAATATTCATATAATATTCTTTTTAAGAATCAGTAAACCATGAAATAAAATTAGCATTCTTAAAATTATTTTCGCTTTTGTCAAGTCTACTTTAGCTTCTTATTCCATATAACACTGCCATGTTATATGAAATCCATATTTTCAAATTCATATCAATACAATAGAAATGCTCCGAAAAACGCACCGTCGGAACGTAAGGAGTGGTTCTTACGAAACTTCCCTAAAAGAATATAATTTATTGTATCTTCAAAATAGGCATAAAATGTTTGACTTGGTTTCGCTATATATTCTAAGTAATCAAATCCTTTCTTCTGACTTTCTAGAAAGGATATGATTCGTGACACGTGTGCGTCTTCCTATGCGGCCGTCTTACCTATTAAAATTATTGATAAACTGCTGGAATTATAGGTATATTTTTAAGAAGAATATAATTATGTAAATAATTATTATTTCATGTATGACAGTCATAAATAAATTAAGAAAAATAAAATGTGGAATTTATGCAAATTAAATTATATTAGATGTCTTCTATTTACTTGAACAAAACGTGTATATCCATTAAAATATTATGATGATTAAATTGAAACGGCTTTTGGAACAGATTTGATGAACGTACGATAATAGAATAGAATAGAATCATATTTCATATTATCAATTTCATAATATCACAATTCGAAATATAATGTCAAGGGATAACATGATCGTCATTAAGGTAAATAATAATTTCATGTTAATATAAATTAAAATAATTAAAAGAGAAATAAAGAAAAATACGAACTACAAAATTTAAATATTTTCAAAATACAAACGTCCGAAATTAAAAAATAATTACAATTTCTTTAAAACAAATTTTTCTACACTGTAGAATTCATTATCCAATAAAAGGTCTTTCAGTCGGGAACAAAACGCTTCGTCAATTGTAACACTTTTTATAACCATACCGTATTCAATTTGGAGGGAAATATCACTAGATCAGGACTAAATGGTTTTGCAGGGAATAACCACTTTAGAAATTAAATTACATACCTGTTTTACGACAAGGAGGCCAAGGAATCCAACTGCGACCTTAGAAGAACGCGGTGAACTTGGGGAAAAGCAAAAGAAAAATCTGTGGATTTCGTACGCGTTACAATTTTCTCTTTCTAATTGTATCAGTAATGATTCATGTCTATTCCATGTATTGTTGATTTTTTTTTAATCATGAAGAAACGTTGACTTATTCACTGAAATAATTAAATATTTGACAACATGACATGCGTTTTTTAAATTTTTATTGATTTGATATTCAATCATTTTTTGTGAAATTACTCCACTAGTTTGTTATAATTATTAATACAAAGATCGAACACTCAGAAAAAATTCCTTCGTTCGGAAAAATTTCGGATTCGAACCGACGTCTTCTAGCTTACTGTGCCAGACGCTATACCAACCAAGTCGCGGAACGAATCAGCGGACCTCAGGAATTCTTCTATGTGCTTGCGTCGTGTCTTTGTATTTGGTTTTTCAACGACTTTTTAGTCGTGGCGCCATCTATGAGAAATCTATGAAAGATTTATCTATCACCCAGTTAGTACCTTGCAGCATCCAGTCCTGGTGAGAGATGTCGCAGTTCACTGTATTTTAAATTTTTATTGAATTGATTTGCAATTATTTTTTGTGAAATTACTCCATTAGTTTGTTATAATTAATAATACAAAGATCGAACACTCAGAAAAAATTCTTTCGATCGGGCCGTATTCGAAACGACGTCTTCTAGCTTATCAATGTCATAATAATGACTGTATGACCAAGCAACAAATTATACATCACTTTTAATTATAATTGAATTTTATTGAATATTTTGATTAAATGTAAAACGATGTTTTCGAAAGTCATTCTGTATTTTCATGCCGTTTTTCATATTCGTCAGTATATAAAGTTTCCTAGAAAAAAAACTACTGTTGTACACACACACTGCACTTCATGTTCAGGCAAGGGTGCGGAGAAAAATACTACATACCCGTACAACAATTACGATCAACTTTTAACCGACTTTAAAAAGGAGAGGTTCACAATTCGACTGTATGTTTTTTTTTGTATGTATGTTACGCGAACCGTATAACTCCGACTTATGAACCGATTTTTATCATTCTTTTTTGTTGGAAAAAGGGTACCTCAGTAGTAGACCCATTTTTAAATATTCTAAGGGTGACGGTGAATCTAGGGGACGAATGACTTTTGAGGTCGGTTTTTTTAGTACTCGGTACTGAGATTATCCTAATAACATGTCACTATAACATCCAGCGGAGACACAGGCAACATGCTCATACCCAAAATAATTGAAATTTTACTTCGATTACCTAAT